AATCAATCAATCAAAATACCTTTACACCGAAGGATACTTCATTAGAGTTCTTCTTGTCATTCATGTCCATCTGCCTACTAGAAATGAAAAAGAATCATTGTTATGGAAAGATATTTGGAATGCTGTATTAGTTTTACTTTATCTATTAGTGGTACTATTACGACCCTGTCATTTCAGAATCTATATATTACGGACAAATAAGAATTCAATTTAAGAATGGTACGAACTTTTCCTTGCAGGTCAAAAGTTAGAATAAAAGTTCTAAAACAACACAAAATTTTGAACAGGAACACTAGCTAAAATTTTGGTGGGAACAATTCTGACCACAAATGAAGAAAATTAGGTCACCATAACAATGTAAAAAATTACTTAATATTAATGTTCTGTAACATTAAAAATGTCTCCCCATCAAATATTCAACCAAGTAATTACTTATTAGCTCCTAAAATTCTGAGCAATCACAGAACTGAGCTGGAAGGGATGAATCAGTTGGAATAAATTCCAGTGAAAATATCCCTTTTCCTTCATTTTACACTTAACTCATCATAAATCAAACAAAATGTTATTGCAGGCAAAAATTAATTCCAGCAAAAATAAAGTATTCTACAGTACACTATGATGATACAAACTTTTTTAATTCATTCATTCCACCCATATGGAATCCACAAGAAACACCTCCAGGTGGCTTCCATGTCTTCTCTGCAGCTGGAATCTGTGCTGGAGGTCTGGACATGGGACTGGAATTACTACTTGAGTCTGCTGGTGTTGGTGGTAACGGCCTGTTACCTATGGAATCTTCAGCTTCCTCAACTGGTGATTCATAGTCTGAGTCGGATTCATCTGCACCTAATATTAATGACAGATAAGATGCAAAGCCGGACTATAATCTTTGTCATTGTACTCCTATAACCAGATGATTATACTGACATACAAATAAGATTCTTTCTGGTGCAGTCAGAAATAGTAACTAACCCTTATCATTGGTACACACCAAATTACATTCATACGATAAGACATAAAAGAAGAATCAGTTTTTCGTTTAAGTTTTTTAAAAGTATAGGAATAGTCTCTTTCAAGGATACAGTCAGGTTTAGCCAAACTGCTTTAATTATGGGTATTTTCATGTAGGGCATGCGCAAAAGCAAAAATGTTTGAAAAATACGAACAGAACATGATATTCTCAACAAGTAATTGCATTTACATAGTCCCCATGAGTTTAAGAAGAATATAAAGTTTGAACATGAACAGTCAGAGCATGTCAGAGCTAGATGTGGTGTCCAAGGCTGCATTCACTGAAAATTGCATTTATTGTATATTGATCATAATCACTACATTGTCATTTAAAGTGCGGTTAAGGTAGCGAGACTATTATTTGTGTTGAAAATTTCGATTTTCACATTTATTTATTAATTGATGAAATGCACTATAAACTTTCATGTGATAAAGTCTACATAACATAGAATGTCATGAAGTTGGTTAAAATGTAGATTTTCTGAAGGGAAGCAAGGCAGCCTCAGTAGTGTTTTCCAAAATCAACAACACAGGTTTAATCTGTGTGCCTATAAGTTTCAAAGATAAACTCAAGACAAAGCAATGTTAGGATGTGTTATCAGTAGCTATCTGACACACAATTAGTGTTTCCAAACATTTGAGTGGTTTGTCTCCGCCCCTATTTGTTTCACAGATTAGTCATTTGCATATGAATGTGTCAGACACAAGGTCACACAGCCACTGAAAAAAAATCATTGATTTTGGTGTTTTCATATGCCGAATTTATCCAATTATAGCTATCCCATTCCTTTATTTTTTTGGTTTCCAATAGCCTTACACATTTGGATGTCCCTACACATGTTAAAAACAAACCTTGACGGGAAAACAAATTGATTGTGCCGATAAACAAGCTTGAAAATCTTTGCTGTTACTTCATGGACGTTTTCTAGGAGTTTATGTTTTTCAAAATACTAGGTCTTTAACAAAAAATAACGTATACTTATTAACACCAAATTTTCACAGCTTTAAGGTGACAATGAGAGGAACTTGAATGTGTCCAGACAAACTATTTCATCGATTATTTACCAACGAGTTGTGGTTTGAGTTGGGGGCAATGCGACTAAATCAGTAATTGAAATTCAGCACACTATTTTTTTTAAACGTGTTGCTTGAAAAAAACTGACCAGACACATTCAATTTACCAGACTATTGAACAACTAGGAAAAGTGAAAAAAATACTTCTTATCGCCAGCATAAATGCGTAATTATTTTTTTTACAGAAAAAGTAATTTTTCACCTTTGGTTGAGTAACGTGTCATAGAATGCATATACGAGCATGCAAAATACACTTGTGAAAAGGTTGAAGTCTGGCGATTCTAAAAATATATATACTTTCCTGGGTCTATTTATAGTCATTTAGTCACAATTAAATTAATTAATTTAGAAGTAAACGTAAAGAAAACTAAAGTCATGGTATTTAATTGCAGCAACAGACTGATTAAAAACATGAATTTTAAAATCAACAACCAAGACATAACAGCTGTTAGCGAGTTTTGCTATTTAGGGGCAATATTTACTCCAAATGGGAAATTTAAAACAAACTTATCTATGTTAAAAAATAAATCAATGAAGGCTCTTTTCAGCATCAGACAAACAGTCTTAAACCACAAAATAATCTCACCAGCACTTAGTTTGAAAATTTTCGACCAATTAATTTCACCTATACTCATGTATGGTGCAGAAATCTGGGCCAATGAAATCACAACTGACAGTAACAGTTTAGAGCAAGTTTGCAGTCATTTTT